TCGGTGAGGCGTGTTATCTCGGCCGCGAGCGACGCGATGGTTGCGTCGCGATTCTCGATCTTCTCCTCGAGGTCGAGCTTCTGGACCGTTGACCGCTCCCTCTCGAGCTTAAGCGTCTCCGTGAGGGAGACGACCGCGAACTGGGCGTCATGGCGGACCGATATCTCCTGCAATGGTATGCGAATAACGGTGCAGATGAGGGGTTGTAGCGGTCATAGATAACATCGCGACGTCGGCATAAAAGATGACCTACCTCTGGCTGGATGAGGGTTGGATCTTGCCGCTTTTTTATGGTGTCGGTGTCGGTCTTCTCGACCCTCTTCGCCCAGTACTGGAAGAGGGGAATCCGGCAGAGCTTGGAATACTGGATGTACGGGTGCCAAGGGGTGCGGACGAGTTTCACCGCGAGGTCCTCGGCGACAATGCGGCGGAACATCAGAAGGGTGCGCCAGAAATGCACGGCCGCAACGTCGGCGTCGGACCCCTTCTTCGCGAGTTCTTCTGCCTGCAGTTAGACATCAGACGGGGGTTATCTCCATGGTGGATAGGACAGTACCATGCAAGATTGGTCGGCACCGATAAACAAACCTTGTTGAGGAGGTCGTCGACGTCGGGGAAGATGTGCTCGGCGATGAGAGCGAGGAGTTCGTCTCCCGGTTCCACCCTACTGCGACCCAAGAAGTAGTCCTGCGTGAATCCCGAATAGCCGGCCTTCTTCATCACCACGCCGACGGGAATGGACGTGATGTAGGCTCGAGTCATCTTGTCGAGAGCCCAGTGACCCAGCTCGGCTATCTCGGCGCGAGGCGTACCTTGGATGGCCAACTCCTGCGCCCCGCCCGCCCGAGCGGCATGGACGTTCCGCTTGCAGAACACCCCGTTCGTCTTCCACATCTGCCTCGTCCATCGCTGGTGGCTGGGAGCTGAGAGTTCGCCCTGCTCGGGGTCGTTGCGGGCGAAGAACAGGTGCTTCTTGTACCAGAGCTCGCGTGTGCTGGTGTTGACCGGCGGAATGAGGTCGACTCCGTGAAACTGGCCGATCTGGTCGAGGACGAAGTGTAACCACAGCCCGGTCTCGCCGACGGCGCACAACTCCGCTTCTAGGTGCCGCGCCGCGTAGCTCTGTTGAAGACGCGCATCCTTCGACGTCTTCGAGTTCCGCGCGGCGACCACCATGACGACCGGCTGGTTATCCGGGTTCACCGACGAGGTGCTCGCCAGTCGGTACAGGAAGATGTCGGGGAGCGTTATCTCGCGTATGCTTGCACCGCGCATGAGGCTGTGGTGGGAGAGCAGCGTGAGCACCTTGATGAGAAGAAACCTCCACAGCGTCTGCGAAGGTGTGGTGAAATGCGGGCTCCATGCCGACGCCGCCCAAGCCGGCAGCACCCTCGTCATTATCTGGCGGAACTGTTCGGCGGTGTATGTGTCGCCGATGGTGCCGCGTCGACGGTCGGCGCATTTACTGTCGACATAACAATATATGGATATGAATATTAGGGCGAGGAAACAAATCGATGGCGACATAACACGGCGATGCATGCCAACTTACTCGAGGTCCCTCTGATTTTTCGTGCGGACCATGACCCGCACCTCCGACCGGACCACCGAGATTTCCCGCATGATGCCCAACTCCTTCTCCTTGAAGAGCGTCGCCTCCACCCTCGCCGCCATCTGGCAGGCCTTGATGCGGCCGAGGATCATGTGCACCGTGTAGGCTCGCACTGGCTCGTTCGTGTCGGCGTCGATCTTGTACTCCCGCCTCATGAACTTGATGTAGGCGCGCAGTCGCGTACTAGTGACCCGGGGGCCGTGCAGCCATATGTGGTTCCGCTTGACCACCTTCTCGTTGTCCCAATCCTTGCTCTTGTTGTTGTGTGTCCAGTGCCCTATCTCGTCGACGTGCCTCATTTGTTCTGCTGTCGGCAGTTTGTCGCCAATTTTTTTAAGCATCTTCGCCGTCCACCTTTTGTAGTCGTATATCCATGAGGTGTAGGACTTGAGCGTGCTCTTGGCCTCTATGGTTTTCAGGTGGCGCATTGCCTCCATCACGAGCACGTCGACGCACGCGTACACCATATCTTCCTCTACGAAGTCGGCCGCCTTCCACATTTCTCGAGGGACCGACGTGTGCAGCAGATCCTCAAGCTCGTTCTCGTCCAACAGTTCCTCTATGAACGCACGTTCCCCCCTGAGTTTTTCTTCCAATGTGCGCGGACCTGCACCACGTCGGGGCCGCGGGTCGTCTTCGTCGTCCTCGTCGCTCGCCGATGAATAATCGTCCTCATCCTGGTCGCCCGATCCGTCCGGCACAGACGACGGCCCGGCCTCCCCTGCATCCGTCGGCGTCGACGTTTTGCGTGGTTTCGTGAACTCCCCTATCGGCGCGGGCGGAACGTCCTTGGTGAACTCTCCCTGCGGGATTTGGGCCAGGGCGTCGAGATCGTAAAGCAGCGGCAAAGTCGACGAGGGGTTACTGGTCGGTGTACGGTCTACCGGGCGGACGTCCTCATCCTGGCTAGCGGGGTTCATGACGTCCGTCATGTCGACATCGGCGGGGGGTGGGTTGGTTTGCGGCGGTGTCGAACGAGGCTGTCCTCTGGCCATGATACCGCGACCTAGGGCGATAGGAAGTCGGCGTGGTGAGGTCGATAAACTACTTAATGCGTATTCTATGTCGGCGGTATCTGGCAGGTCGGGACAGCAGACAATCCTACGAGAGGTCGGCGACCACGTCTGCCTACTATCACGACGCCGACGTTACGCCTCTAGAGAAAATCAAAGTGCCGGCCGTCAAGTCAGTGGTAAAAAAAAAAAGCAATGGCACACACAATGGCAGGCGGAATGAGCGACCATTTCGGGGACCACGGATGGGGATGGTCGTGAGCGACTCCGCACCACTTGGCGCTCCACGCAAACCCCAGTGCACGACGCCGCCATGCATGTACGCTCGTGCGGCGGCGCCGTGTCCGACGTGCCACCAGGCGTGCATGGCTGCTTGCTTGAAGCGCTTCGCTCATCATGCTCTTTTCGTGGCTGCTACACGCTGGCTCTTTCGTGCGGCAACGTGGCGTGGTCCCGAATTAGGTGCACCTCGGTAGGTCGAGGTCGGGAGACACTGCCGTGTGGCACCACGATGATGCTCTTCTGGTCGACGCCGACAGGTCCCGCATCATCAGTGTCCACTGCACGTAGCCATAGATAGTGGACGGCCGGATTTCTCCTTGCGCATGTGAGCAACCGTTGGATGAATGCCGTGTGGTATGCACCGACATTGCCACGTTCATGCGCGAGATTCTCCCAAGCGAAGCACCTCGACCTTCCGTTGGCCCGTCGTGTCCAACCTGGCAGACCTAGGTGGCCCCGCCATCCAGGGGACTATCTCGGGCGTCCCTTTGTGGCCGCGTGGCGATCATCGCGGCCCGACTTGCCGAGCTGGTATTCTGACACGCGGCTGAGACGTCCTTCTCGGGATTGTCTCAGCGGAACTCTAGGTCGACAGGTGGTCGACCATCCCGAGGGCTCACCAGCACCTGGCCCAGCCAGATAGCCTGGGCTTTCCACGCGGAGGTCGTCGTGGGGTCGTCGACCCCGAGGAGGGGGGTTGTCCGTTCTGAACCGCGAAAATGGGCGGCAGTTTTCGTCGGCTGAGCTATATTATGCTGAAGATCCCAGCGGAATGAGGTCGACGGAATCGAGTTGCCAGGGTCGACGAGGGGGGTCGACGGACAGGGGTCTGACGAGGCGGGCGAGTGACGCGCGTGCGGGCCCGCCTGCCTGGCCCTGGGCTGGGCCGGGCGCACGACCGCCGCCCCGCAACCCCCCCCCCCGAGAGTGAACAGCGACCCACGTTACCGGGTGGGGGCGGCGAGCTGGCGAGACCTCGGGCGAGGGGAAGTAACCCTGCCGCGAAGGCAGCCCACCCCTCCCTCGTGCCCGCGAGGCCCTAGTAACCCATCGCGGCCTGCCCGTACGGGCAGGCGAGGTCCACGCGAAAATCGGGGGCTCCCCTCGGGTCGCTCGACTATTTCGCGACCCGTTGCGGTGACGCCACGTGCTCGCCCGTCATTTCGCATCGCGTGCATGAGACATTTCGTACCCCCCGAAACTCGAGCGAAAACCTGGGTCGTTCGCCACGGGGCGCACGGCTTTCGCGACCCTCTGCGAAATCGACACGTGGTGCCGAAACGTCGCACCGCGCCCACGCGAAGTTGCGTCCCCTGGCCGACCGAGGCCGGGGCACGTGACGTCGACCTGTTGGCTCGGCGGCGAGGGTGCACTTGTGCCACGCAACTTGTGCACGAGCCCTGCCGAGCCAGGCATCACGGCCCCCTGGGCGACGCTCAACCGGGCCTGCGTGGCTCCGCCTGGCTTTTCTTCGCTGGAGGTGGACTGGCCCCTCATTTTCGCGTTCTCGTTTCTCTTTCATTTTTCCTCCCACCTCGGCGCCTTCCATACTCCCACCGCTTCTTCCCTTAGCCTGTAGCATAGCATCCTCGCTCTCCCGCCATGGCAGCCGGCCAGAAAGCCGCCGAAGCGGCGCCGACCTCGCTAGATTTCCCCCTGCATCTAGACATCGGTAGAGGACACACGGCCAAGCTCGAAGAGCACGACTACGCCGTTCTGACAAACCCTATGCTAGAGTTTAACGCCCGTTGCTTGGGACTCGGTCTCAAGTGAGTGTCTTATGGAGATGTCGTCGTCGACGGGCCTATTCCATGCTGGTCGGCCATGGCGGGGTTTCAATGCGTCCAGTAGTATATGTCGACGGGCTTAGAGTTCAGGCACATCACATCGGTGATGCCGACGTAATGCGTTAGGTCGTCGACGACGCTGAGTTGTGCCGAAGTCGTTCGGCTCCCGTCATTCCACCGTCGTGTCGCGCACCTATACCTCTTTAATCTGTTGTAATCATGCATGCGTGCAGGCACGCATGGATCCGCTCAACGGATGCAGGCGAGCGATTGTGGTCGATAGGAGTCGGCCGGCTTCGGGCGGCGATGGGTCAGGACGACCACACATGCTTTGCGACGATTTTCGACGCCGACGTGGCGGTTATCCCACTGATATCGAGGTGAGCAGGTTCGAGGTCCTGCTGTGTGCTGCAACCTGTGTCGGTGATTTGTTCTGAGCGCCATCGACGTGCCTTGTCTGTGCAGCATCGCACCGCTTCCGGGAGCACATTGCAGCGTCGTTCTCATCCTGTGCCCCGGCGATTTGTTCAATGCCTCGGGGCAGGAGGTCAGGACCTCGATCCGGCACGCCGACCCGCAGACAGTGAAGGAGTGGCACCGCGACGAGGCGATCCGCGTGCTGAAGTGAGCTCGATAGTTTAGTCGACATCGCATACATTGTCGACACGACGCGTGCACCGTGCTAACCGACCGTCCTTGCCGTGCTTTTGCAGGTTTTTCCGGACCGCTGTTCTGGCCGAGCTGCGGCGCGAGGGTAGGAAATGGGAGTGGGCGAAGCCGTCCGAAGACGAGGTGCAGGAGAGGCTCGCCGACTGCGACGAACCCCTTCGAGATGTGAGTTACGGACGATTCGCCGTCATATGGTGTCACATCTACGCCGCCCTCATCCTTGCTCTCTGCACTGTTGTATGCAGAAAATTCCCGATACCGTCCGGGACTCGGACGCGGGCTCCGGCCTGCTAGCAATGAGCGCGTTGATCTGGGTTGTGAGGCGGTTCCAGCGCCTGACCGGCGACCTCCGTCGCATTGCCACCAGCATGGACAGGCCCACCGTCTCGGGGTTGAAGGCGCTGCGGAACGAGATGGTAGCCCTCATCAAGAAGCAAGTCCCGCTCATACGGTCGGGGAAAACCGTTGTTGCTGCCGACGCCTGTGACGACGACGGCGAGGAAGTCCATTCTGCATCCGTGCCAGTAGGGGTCGCCCGGAACGTCGCTGATGCGCGTGGCAAGTCGGGAGTCGGCGTCGACGAGGCCGATGCGGCCGCAGGAAAGGGGGTGACCGGGACCGAGGTTGCTCACGGGGATGATGATGGGGCCCAGGATCGCGAGGAGGAACGTGAGGGTGAGGGGGGCTCGGAGGAGTCGTCGGGGTCGATGTCGGGGTCGAGGTCGGGGTCGGGATCGGGCTCGGAGTCGGAGTCGGAGGAGGAGCAGGAGCAGGAGACGCAGGAGCACGAGAGGCAGCACCAGGAGGAGCAGTTGGTAGAGGTGGAGGACGTGGAAATGGCGGAGGGGTACGTTGTCGGAGGAGCGGAGGAAACGGGTGGGAGATCGGCGGATGTCGAGAACGACGAAGGGGAGGGGAAGGGTGCGACAGCGAATATCGGCGAGGTCGGCGTGGAGGCGGCTCACGGAGGTGGTGGCATGGTCGAGGTCGGTGAAGGGGATAACGCCGCGGTCCCGGAGCAGAGGGGCGTGGATGTGCATACCGATGCCACCGCGGAGAAGGCCGGCGGGGAGCGGTCTAGGAGGAAGAAGGCGGCGAGCGGTCATCCCGGTTCCACCGCGGCTGGGCGGCAGGCGCGGCTGGACGTCGTCGATCAGCTGAGGGCGGAGAACAGGCGATTGCGTGCAGACAATGCACTCCTTGAACGGCGGCTCGGTGAGCAGACGGGGCGGGTCGACAGCTTGGCGGCGGCATTAGCTGGGCTCCTCGAGAAGTTGAAGGGTTTGACCGCCCAGGTCGCCGACACCGACCGGAAATCGGAGGAGCGCCTCAAAGAGGCCACGTCGACCATGGCGACCACAATCACCGAGGGCCTCACCGACAACATGGACAGCGCCATTCAATCGGCCAAGTCCTTCGCCGAGCTAGCGAGGCAGACGCTGCTGGATCTTGACGACCCCAAGGGACGAGCGGCGGTCGCACGCGCGACCGCGGTGAAGACAGTGACCGAGCACGTGACGGCGGAGGTGGGCGAGGCGAGGAAGGGGTTGGAGGAGTCGTTCATCAAATACATCGGCGCCGCGCAGACCAACATTGCCGCCGCCGTCGCGCCCCGCCTAGTCCAGCCGCCGCCGCCTACCGGCCCAGCGCAGGCCTTGCCGGAAGATTTCCTGAAGTCTTTCAAGGAGGACGTGCTGAAGGCGGTGACGGAGACCACGCAGCAGTCCTTCCTCGCCTCCGGACTGAAGATTATGGCCGAGGTCGTCGGCACGGTGGCGTATGCTCGGCGTGGGTCGTCGCCGTCGGCAAACGACGCCGGCCAAGCGCAACCAACGGAGGGCTTGAAGCTGGGTCACAAGAGGCGGGGAGGCGGCGGGGGGGGCGACGGGGACAATTCGGCGAACACGAAGCGGAGCAAGGGAGGCGGGGGGTCTGGCGGCGGTGGGAGCATGGGAGCCGGCGACGGCAGTTCGTTGAAGCAGTCGGGGAAGAGCGTGGTCGACATCCTCAGGAAGCACTGGGCTCAGGTTGGAGCGGCCAGCACGGGCCATGGTGGTGGGGGTCCCGCCGACGAGCATGCCACTGATGACGCACTGCCAATGGCTCCGCCTTCGGTCGGCGTTAAGCCACCACGACAGGGTAGCGGTGTGAAAGGCCTGCGCGACAAGGAGAAGGCCGCCGCCAAAACGGCCCCAGGCGGGTCCGCGAAAGCTGGCCAGGGCCCGAAGACGGGGGTTGCGGAGGCGTCAGCGGTTCCTCACCAGTCTCCCGCGGGTGCACGCCATCCGACCGGACCGTCTGCCGGGCGACCTACCGACGTCCCGCGCCATGCCGACGTACCGTCTGCCGACAAGGTTGGCCGCGCGGGAAAAGGGGCGGCAGTTGCGGACGCGCTCAAGGAGCAGCTCAGGCTCCTAGCCGGCCACAGGGCTGTTCAACAGGCCCCCCCTGCTGTCGACATCCCATCGGCCAGTGGGCCACGTGTAGTGCCGGTCGTCGCCGCCCGTACTCCTGCAGACCCAAAGTCCGCGTTGTTGCGCGCCCAGCTGGGCGCACTAGCGTCGACTGAGAGGACTCAGCAGGCTTCTGGCTCTGGCTCTAAGCCGTCGTCGGCGAATGTCGCACCACCCACCCATGTGGCAGCTGATGTGGAGAAGGCGGCGGAGAAGGGCGTTCGTGCCGCGCTTGCCACCGGCGGCGGCGCCGTTGAGGAGGTCCCCGCAGACGCTGATATCGCTGCCATACAGGCCCATCTGGATGCAGCCAATCCCCGAACCCTGGCCATCTCCGACACGGAACATGTGGAGCCTTCGGCGGGACTCGTCGGCATCGCGGCAGAGCCTAGTGCGACCGGTGATGCGGTCGGTGAGGGAAAGTCGAAACGGAAGGGGAAGGCGGGCTCACAGAGGAAGACGCGGGAGAAGTCGGAGGTGAAGGCGGCGGATAAACAGAAGGGGATGGCGGCGGAGACGGCGGCGGACAAAGATCGAGGCGGCATTGGGGAGGTTGAAGGGAAAGGGGAGAATCAGAAGTCGCCCGGCGAGGGTACGTCGACGGGGAGGAAGGGGAAGGACAAGTCGGTCGGAGAAGGTGCGTCGACCGGGAGAAAGGGGAAGGAGAAGGCGGTCGGCGAGGGTTCCTCGAAGGGGAGAAAGGGAAAGAGGAAGGCGAAGGAGGAGGATGAGGATGTCGAGGAGGTGGAGGAGGTCGAGCAGGAGGAAGAGGAGGAGGAGGAGGAGGAGGAGGAGGAGGAGGGGAAGGGCAAGGAGAGGAGGGGTCATGGCATCCGACACGATACCTCGGGCGACAAGTAAGGGTGGGTCGGCGAGATTAAGGTGCACGGCATCAATCGATACATCGGCAAGTCGCGGGACAAGATGGAGCTCGCGTACGTTCACTCCATCGCGTACGTCGTCTACGACGGTTTCGTGAGCAAGGTGCTCATGACCGAGCTCACCGGCTTGGACAGCGCCGAATTGGAGAGGTGGAAGGAGGTGTGGGAGGAGGTCAGGATCTTGCCGACAGGGATGTGGACGGTGATGTGGGCCCGGGGTACGCTCCTTCCAAAGACACGGTAAGTCGGCAATCCTCCGATTCAAAGTCGATGTCGTTGTCGTTGTCACTCATGTTCGCCCTGTTTGTGGTGGCGTGACAGGCTGACGGAGATCCTCGACGCGTATCGCCATTACAAGTCCACAGGCGATTGTCTCCACGCCGCGCTCCTGCCAGCGATATGGTACCCAGTCGATGCTAGCACCGAGGAAGGCCGGGAGAAGTCGGCGTCCATGATGTCGGCGATGATAGGCCGCGTGTCAATGTGCACTGCATATGGGAAGACCGCTGCGGCAGCGGCGAAGAAGGAGGGAGACAAGGAGGAGAAGACGGATATGGCGGCATGGGCGTTAGCAGCATCCGCATGCGCTGTGTGGTGCTTCGTCGAGAACGGCGATGCCCAGCTGGCGGATGCTGTGGAAGAAGGGAAGTCGGCGGCGATCATCGGCGGAGCGAGCCAGGCGACCGCCGATGTATTCGGAAAAGTCATGGAGGCGGTGCTGAAAGCCGAGATGAACGGGGACCGCCCCTTGGGAGAGGTTGCCTACAACGTCGCGCCAGCACTCCAGAGGACCGCCCTTGATACGGTATATCCGGGGGGGAATGCTGGAGTAGATGCCGACGTTATCGCTAGAGCGACGGTTGAGACGATGGCGTTTTGGGGAATGTGCCCCGTCGCCGGGCCGAAACTAAGAGCGAGGGACATCGCGGTGCCGATTGACGCGCAGATGAAGGCCGATCTTGACAACAGGGGGAGGAAGGGTCTGAGGGGCAAGAAGGGGACGAAGACCAAGGGCGGCACGGAGAAGGTCAAGAAGTCGAAGAAGGACAGCACGACGGCCTAGTCGACGGCATGCTAAGATTGAGTGCTGCGTGGACTCGATGATGAAATGGTCGATACCGTTTTCCTTGTTTTGGCTGTCGGATCCCTTTGATGCTCTTTGTTTGTGTTTTTTTTTGTGCGTGCCTGTCTACTTTACGTAGGATGAGTAATGAACACATTAGCTAGTAATGATTGTCTACTTCAGTTTGAACGACACGTGAATGCCCCGCTAGGCCGAGAACAACAGGATCATTGAGAGAAACAAAAAGTCGACATCAGTATCAGTATGAAACATAGGCATGCTGCATCAACATCTACAACATGCAACAGGCCACAGTAGCAGGAGGCCTGGGAACATTCAAGCGGTTTTCTTGCGCTTGGTCGACTTATTGGTCGGAGGCAGCTGCCCGGCGTCGTTTTCGCGGGCCAGGTCGGCCAACGTCTTCTTCATCTGCTCAACCCAGGTGTCCGGGAACAGGTCGGCGACCCACGTTTCGGGCTTGAGCCCGCGCGCCACGAACGCACAGGCGACACGAAGCTTGGAAAATTCCGTCTTGCCGAGCCCTTTGACGCCCTTACCCTGCCCAGCATAGGTCGCTACGGCGTCCGCGTTGAGCACCGTGAGGGCATCCGCGAAGGTCCCAATGCCAGGCGCCGCTATCTTGTTAAGCGCGTCGACGGTGGCTTCCGTGTCGGCTTCGCCGTCGCTCCTGCGAAGCTGGCGCACCGCATCGATGACCTTCATCATGCGGCGCACCCTCGTCCCGTGTGCTCCCTGCGAGGCTCCGTCGAGGAGGGTGTGGCGGTCGACGAATCCCGGCTCCCTGAACCTGTCGCACAGACGACGGGTGTCGGCGCTGGTGCACGAGGTCCAGAGGCGCCACGCGTCCTTGACGGTCGTTGCAGTCCGCCAAGGCTGCACTACGTTCAGCTCGTAGCTAGCCTCCTCGACCGTCTGTGGGGGTTTATTGGGTTTGTTGGCTCCTCCACCCCTGCTTGCCGACTCCGCGGAGCCACCGTCGCTCGGCGACTGGTCGTTAGCGGATGGCGGCGCCTCCGGCATCCTTCGAGCTTCTGAAACGCGGAGAGCCTCGGTGAGGCGTGTTATCTCGGCCGCGAGCGACGCGATGGTTGCGTCGCGATTCTCGATCTTCTCCTCGAGGTCGAGCTTCTGGACCGTTGACCGCTCCCTCTCGAGCTTAAGCGTCTCCGTGAGGGAGACGACCGCGAACTGGGCGTCATGGCGGACCGATATCTCCTGCAATGGTATGCGAATAACGGTGCAGATGAGGGGTTGTAGCGGTCATAGATAACATCGCGACGTCGGCATAAAAGATGACCTACCTCTGGCTGGATGAGGGTTGGATCTTGCCGCTTTTTTATGGTGTCGGTGTCGGTCTTCTCGACCCTCTTCGCCCAGTACTGGAAGAGGGGAATCCGGCAGAGCTTGGAATACTGGATGTACGGGTGCCAAGGGGTGCGGACGAGTTTCACCGCGAGGTCCTCGGCGACAATGCGGCGGAACATCAGAAGGGTGCGCCAGAAATGCACGGCCGCAACGTCGGCGTCGGACCCCTTCTTCGCGAGTTCTTCTGCCTGCAGTTAGACATCAGACGGGGGTTATCTCCATGGTGGATAGGACAGTACCATGCAAGATTGGTCGGCACCGATAAACAAACCTTGTTGAGGAGGTCGTCGACGTCGGGGAAGATGTGCTCGGCGATGAGAGCGAGGAGTTCGTCTCCCGGTTCCACCCTACTGCGACCCAAGAAGTAGTCCTGCGTGAATCCCGAATAGCCGGCCTTCTTCATCACCACGCCGACGGGAATGGACGTGATGTAGGCTCGAGTCATCTTGTCGAGAGCCCAGTGACCCAGCTCGGCTATCTCGGCGCGAGGCGTACCTTGGATGGCCAACTCCTGCGCCCCGCCCGCCCGAGCGGCATGGACGTTCCGCTTGCAGAACACCCCGTTCGTCTTCCACATCTGCCTCGTCCATCGCTGGTGGCTGGGAGCTGAGAGTTCGCCCTGCTCGGGGTCGTTGCGGGCGAAGAACAGGTGCTTCTTGTACCAGAGCTCGCGTGTGCTGGTGTCGACCGGCGGAATGAGGTCGACTCCGTGAAACTGGCCGATCTGGTCGAGGACGAAGTGTAACCACAGCCCGGTCTCGCCGACGGCGCACAACTCCGCTTCTAGGTGCCGCGCCGCGTAGCTCTGTTGAAGACGCGCATCCTTCGACGTCTTCGAGTTCCGCGCGGCGACCACCATGACGACCGGCTGGTTATCCGGGTTCACCGACGAGGTGCTCGCCAGTCGGTACAGGAAGATGTCGGGGAGCGTTATCTCGCGTATGCTTGCACCGCGCATGAGGCTGTGGTGGGAGAGCAGCGTGAGCACCTTGATGAGAAGAAACCTCCACAGCGTCTGCGAAGGTGTGGTGAAATGCGGGCTCCATGCCGACGCCGCCCAAGCCGGCAGCACCCTCGTCATTATCTGGCGGAACTGTTCGGCGGTGTATGTGTCGCCGATGGTGCCGCGTCGACGGTCGGCGCATTTACTGTCGACATAACAATATATGGATATGAATATTAGGGCGAGGAAACAAATCGATGGCGACATAACACGGCGATGCATGCCAACTTACTCGAGGTCCCTCTGATTTTTCGTGCGGACCATGACCCGCACCTCCGACCGGACCACCGAGATTTCCCGCATGATGCCCAACTCCTTCTCCTTGAAGAGCGTCGCCTCCACCCTCGCCGCCATCTGGCAGGCCTTGATGCGGCCGAGGATCATGTGCACCGTGTAGGCTCGCACTGGCTCGTTCGTGTCGGCGTCGATCTTGTACTCCCGCCTCATGAACTTGATGTAGGCGCGCAGTCGCGTACTAGTGACCCGGGGGCCGTGCAGCCATATGTGGTTCCGCTTGACCACCTTCTCGTTGTCCCAATCCTTGCTCTTGTTGTTGTGTGTCCAGTGCCCTATCTCGTCGACGTGCCTCATTTGTTCTGCTGTCGGCAGTTTGTCGCCAATTTTTTTAAGCATCTTCGCCGTCCACCTTTTGTAGTCGTATATCCATGAGGTGTAGGACTTGAGCGTGCTCTTGGCCTCTATGGTTTTCAGGTGGCGCATTGCCTCCATCACGAGCACGTCGACGCACGCGTACACCATATCTTCCTCTACGAAGTCGGCCGCCTTCCACATTTCTCGAGGGACCGACGTGTGCAGCAGATCCTCAAGCTCGTTCTCGTCCAACAGTTCCTCTATGAACGCACGTTCCCCCCTGAGTTTTTCTTCCAATGTGCGCGGACCTGCACCACGTCGGGGCCGCGGGTCGTCTTCGTCGTCCTCGTCGCTCGCCGATGAATAATCGTCCTCATCCTGGTCGCCCGATCCGTCCGGCACAGACGACGGCCCGGCCTCCCCTGCATCCGTCGGCGTCGACGTTTTGCGTGGTTTCGTGAACTCCCCTATCGGCGCGGGCGGAACGTCCTTGGTGAACTCTCCCTGCGGGATTTGGGCCAGGGCGTCGAGATCGTAAAGCAGCGGCAAAGTCGACGAGGGGTTACTGGTCGGTGTACGGTCTACCGGGCGGACGTCCTCATCCTGGCTAGCGGGGTTCATGACGTCCGTCATGTCGACATCGGCGGGGGGTGGGTTGGTTTGCGGCGGTGTCGAACGAGGCTGTCCTCTGGCCATGATACCGCGACCTAGGGCGATAGGAAGTCGGCGTGGTGAGGTCGATAAACTACTTAATGCGTATTCTATGTCGGCGGTATCTGGCAGGTCGGGACAGCAGACAATCCTACGAGAGGTCGGCGACCACGTCTGCCTACTATCACGACGCCGACGTTACGCCTCTAGAGAAAATCAAAGTGCCGGCCGTCAAGTCAGTGGTAAAAAAAAAAAGCAATGGCACACACAATGGCAGGCGGAATGAGCGACCATTTCGGGGACCACGGATGGGGATGGTCGTGAGCGACTCCGCACCACTTGGCGCTCCACGCAAACCCCAGTGCACGACGCCGCCATGCATGTACGCTCGTGCGGCGGCGCCGTGTCCGACGTGCCACCAGGCGTGCATGGCTGCTTGCTTGAAGCGCTTCGCTCATCATGCTCTTTTCGTGGCTGCTACACGCTGGCTCTTTCGTGCGGCAACGTGGCGTGGTCCCGAATTAGGTGCACCTCGGTAGGTCGAGGTCGGGAGACACTGCCGTGTGGCACCACGATGATGCTCTTCTGGTCGACGCCGACAGGTCCCGCATCATCAGTGTCCACTGCACGTAGCCATAGATAGTGGACGGCCGGATTTCTCCTTGCGCATGTGAGCAACCGTTGGATGAATGCCGTGTGGTATGCACCGACATTGCCACGTTCATGCGCGAGATTCTCCCAAGCGAAGCACCCCGACCTTCCGTTGGCCCGTCGTGTCCAACCTGGCAGACCTAGGTGGCCCCGCCATCCAGGGGACTATCTCGGGCGTCCCTTTGTGGCCGCGTGGCGATCATCGCGGCCCGACTTGCCGAGCTGGTATTCTGACACGCGGCTGAGACGTCCTTCTCGGGATTGTCTCAGCGGAACTCTAGGTCGACAGGTGGTCGACCATCCCGAGGGCTCACCAGCACCTGGCCCAGCCAGATAGCCTGGGCTTTCCACGCGGAGGTCGTCGTGGGGTCGTCGACCCCGAGGAGGGGGGTTGTCCGTTCTGAACCGCGAAAATGGGCGGCAGTTTTCGTCGGCTGAGCTATATTATGCTAATTCTGTGGGCTTGGTGTTGCGCAAGGAAACCACCCGACATCCAGCAGAACCGAAATGGATTCGCTGTGTGAATCGAAATTGGCACGTGCGGGGCTGGTTCGATTCGAACTGCTAGACGTCGTGGGATACAATGGGGAAGGGGGGACATAGTTTTTGAAAAGTGATCCATGTTTCAGCAATGCGTACCCTCCTCAACAATGTTTCAAGTAACCCTAGTCATTGCTTGTTCAATAGTCTGTGCGCAAAGATTGGGAAAACCCAGTTT